GTTGCCCTCCAATTCCCCCCCAAGTTTGAACAAACTTAACACTGCATCCTAGAAGATGCTCTCATTTTCACTGGTAACCTAGTATTTTCTAAGGTGTACGATATTCTGTTGTTTGGTTTTTCCAATTACATGATCACAAGCAAAAGTTTTGTACAAGCTACCCTTTGAACAGGTTTCTCTAGGGTAAATATTAAAAAGTGGAATGTTGGGGTCATGATACATGTGTGAATTTTACATTCAAATGGCTGTTATCATCTAGTTGCCTTAAAAAGCAAAACGAAAGCTGTGCCAACCTGCCCAGACAGCGGGCCCCTACCAGCTCCGAATCTACATTAGCACCTGCCAAGCGGACTCGGACAGCTTCCCACGGCTTCCTGTGCATTTTTCTTACCTGCTGAGGTGAGTGTCCCTCTGTAACCTGTTTGTTTGCTTACATGCATCTTCACAGCTTTCCGTTTCGAAGACTTTTGTCCAGAAAGCAGAAGACAGACTACTACTCGTCTAGCTGGAATGAATTTTTTTGTGAGAAACCTAAACTTATTTCTTTGCCAAGTGGATATACAGCCAGAACCACGGGTTGGGTCATGCTTTCCCTACGGATTTAAAATGCGACTTTCACCACGCACTCAGCATGTTTATGTTTAGATTCTGTGATACTAGAGATTTTTGGCTTTAGGTACCTGAGTTATTCTGGACTTCCTGATTTATGGAATTTGTGATTTTTGCCAGCCAAAAAATGCCCATGTTGACAATGATATAATTCATGATACACAAATCTTACTCTAGGTAAGTTAGGTTTAAATCAGTTGCATTTTCTAAAAACTTGAGTCTTGAAAAAAATGTGTAAACTTCTTTATCAGATTAGTTCTTAGGGGAGATTCACAGGTTTGGGGTGGAGGCTTTTCACATTCCCGTCTTTCCACAGGTGTTACTTGATAGTAAAGGTCTTTATTATCTTAAGTAATGGCAAAAGATTTCACACAGCATCGCAATGATTCTGCTGACCTCTTAGAATGAGTCTGAAGTTCGTTTAAACAAGTGACATTTACTATGAACACTGACCACAGGCCCCCGGCTTTGCCCATCCACCTGGCTGTCCTCACGGCCCAGTACCAGGGGCAGCACCAAAAGTAAAAATAGCACTGAACCGCACTGCAGCAGTGCTACCATAAAACAAAGAACAGGTCAAATCCTCCAAAACGTCAGTGGAAAGGGGGGACACTTAGAGCCGAATGTGTATTTTTTTCTGTCTATGCAAGTCTGCCTCAGGATCTAATGACTGTTTTTAAAAGTAGGAAAATAGGAAAACTACAACTAAACACTGACCAGATTTAATGTCACATTCAAGTGTGGAAAAATATCCGTTCTCTAAGGTGGTGGTCCTCAGGCCTGACCTCTCAGTAGATGCACCACTTGACTGAGAAATGACTCGGAACCACGTTTTAGGTTTCCATAGTTGCTATCTGGAAATACTCAAGGTAATGTGCATTTGCCTTGTCTCAAACCTCAAGTTACTTTTCTAAGCTAGAACATTCTTTTCCTTCTCCAAAGGATACTCCAGGCAATGTCTGCAGACTTACAAACTCCAGAGCCAGGAGCAATCCCCAAGCCGCCTGCCTGTCAGTCTGCAGCACAATCCATCAACCAAGACTGTGAGAGCGCAAAATAGTGTCTCGCTGGGCGCTGGTGGCTCAAGAGGCTGAGATCTGAGGACCACAGTTCAAAGTCTGCTTGGGTAGGAAAGTCCAATTAACCACCCGCAAACCAAAAATGGAACTGTAACTCAAAGTGGTAGAGCACTAGCCTTAAGTGCAAGAGCTCAGAGATAGTGCCTAGGACCTGAGTTCAAGTCTCAGGACAGACCAAAAAAAAAGTAGCATCTTACTTTAACCCTGAAAAGGGGTTGTTTTCATTTGCTGATTCGATTTTTTTTAAAAGTACGTGTGTGTAAACTTCAGCTTGCCTCAACTGTCAATGTCACCTGCTGCATGTCACACTAACAGCACCCCAGGAGGGAAACCGTTACTGACACACAGGAATAGCAACCTTGGCCCTCTCTAAAAGGAACACTAACATATAAAGAACAGAACTAGGTACAGAAACCGAGAGCTGGTATAGAAATACATGAGGCAGCGATACATTCTGGAATGGTAAGAACAGAGAAACAGGTGCAAATATACATCGCAAAATAAATTATTCGTATTAGTAGAAAATAGAAAGAGGGCAGCTGGCCTGAGGCAGAAGGTGGAGGAGGAAGAGTCCAGGTTTGCACGAGCAGGGACACACAGGGAAAAGGAAAGGCAGAAGAAGCCTGGTGACTTATGTGGATGTGCGCGTCAGTATCGGCTGTGGGGTCGAGCTCCGAGAAGGCTCGCCCGAGAGGCACAACGCGACCACCAGGCTCCGCCAGTTCCCTTTTATTAAGCTCTTGACATTCCTTGGACGAGAAAACACGACATTCATTTCATAGTTAGATGTGAACATAAAAACAAACTCAAACTTTCAAGTATGTTTTGAGGCTAAGGGCAAAGGAAGAACGCAGTGTTGGGAGCGGAAGAGCCGCTGAGAAGCCAAGACCCAAGGCAATGCTCTTGCTTTCCCAACAGATGCTAAACCACCAAGGTGGGGGGGGGGGGCAAAAGTCCCTCCGTGGAATCCTGGGGCTACCTTTCAAGAGGCTTGTCTCTGCTTTTGGGCCTGTGCTTCAAATGCCCTTCCCTCAGTGCAGATGCCACCTTTTAACAAACTGTCTTGACAAAGCCACCCCGAGCCGTACATCAAGTATTTCTCATTGCACTTATCAGCTAGTTTGTCTTTGCCATCCGGTAAGCTGTGGGCCTTGTTTGAACAAGACAGTTGCTGAAGACAACTGAATCGGGGCTATATATGGCTTCACTTAATTTTAGTACAAGTAAAAGGAAATACTTAATCCCAACTCCCCACTCTGTTTTGTAGCAAGCTGTTGAGATTACATTGTAACTACCTACGTTTTTCTTTGGGAAATATTCAGTTTGAACTGGACTTGCATTATACTTTCAGGAAAACTGTTCTTCTTTGTTGTCTAAATTAAACCAACACAAAGTTTACATAGCACCTTGGTCTCTACACATGGCAGATTAGACAGATGACGTTCTTGTAAAACTAAGCTCCTGAACTGGGATTTCAGTTAGTTAAAATTCTAGCTCTTTTGAGCGAGACCCTTAGTCTCCCAGGTAAACCCAAACTACTTAAGATTCTTATTTCCAAATGCAAGCAAAAGTAGCTTTGCTGAAGTGAGTATTAACAGTTAAGGCTCCCGATACATATTGCCAAATGACAAAGCTCACAGGAAAGCCTCCGAGAGGCATCCTTGCACTTGTTAGGTTACTGGATGCTTAACCTTTAGAAAGCCGTTCTCACTGGTAAAAGCCGTTTTGCCTTCTGCTCAAATGTATTAGGAGCAACACGGTTACTTTGGCCCCTGACAGTCACCACCACCTTCTATCACGTTTTCCTATCCCCAGAATCAACTGAGCTCTCATTGTCATCCACAGTTTTTGTTGTTTGTCTTGGGTGACAAGGACTGAACCCAAGGCCTGGGAGGCCAGGGACAGTGGTCTAGGCCAAGGCCCCGTCTGCTCCCAGCCTGTCCACCATCGGCCGTCATCTGGGTTTAACCACACAGTGTCTCCACGGGAGGCTGGCCTCCCAAGGCAGAGCTCCACTTGCTAGCTCATACCACGCCCAACTACGTAGCTCTGGGTGGGACCTCAGCCCCACACCCACCTTGGCCTCCCCCTGCTCCCCTCCCTCAGCTTGCGTGTACTTACTTGCCTCAAATACGTCTCCTGTTCTCCACACTAAGCTCTTCGTCACTGTCAAACACATCCTGCGGCACAACTAGAACACAAAAACACTTAGCAAGCCATGCACACCTCAATCGTTTGCCTTCTGTTGGCTGATCCGTTGCAAACAGACAACCAACTAACTACTGTTTCTCACTAATTCCCAATGAGCTACTGATGGCGCATGTCGATTTTTACAGGCACCTTTCTGAATTCAAGTAAAAGTTTGGTAGACAAGGATTTGCTACTTCTATCACTAACATAATATGGATACTGGTATAAATATTGCTCATCATTCTTGCATTCTTTAAATTATTTTACTTTGAAATTTTAAGAACTGTCATTAAATCATTAATAACATAGGTTTTCATTTAAAGAATATTCTGAACTGTGAAAATACAAATCTAGTCATTTTGAACATATATAGAGCCAAATATTTCAACAAAACTGCAGTTTAATTTCAGAAAATTTGTTAAAATATATATTTATACATCAATTTCTGACATATACTCAATGTGTTAGTACACACAAAATGATGCTTTCTCTTCAAAGTGTATTTATGAAATGTACCTTTTAATTTAGACTCAGTATACACTGCACTTAATCTGCATGTTGCATTTATTAAATACAGTAAAATCTGCGATGTAACGTTTTCTGCATACGAAATCGAGAACACCATTTTAAATGAACAAAAGCTGGCTCACTTCATTTCTGTTTTTGTACAACTAGTGCACTGAACACTAGCTCAGCCTACCACCCACCTGCTTGCTCTCTTTTATCGACATTGTTCACAGACTAGTACACACTACAGTAAGAGTGCTGGGTGAGAACATGAGGTACGGAAGTGGTTCAAAGGTTGCAGGCATGCAGAGCATGCTAGACAGCAGAGGAAACTGTGACCAAGGAAACACTAAATAAAATACATGAAGAATGTGCATGATATATATATATATATGTATATGTGTGTATATATATATATATGTATATATATATATATATCTTTCTATATAAAAAACAAAAACAAAACTCCATTACACAGCTTTGCTTCTTTGGTTACAAAGTAGGTTGAACAATTCACAGCTTTTTATTCCCACCCGAAAGAAAGTCATATGAAACGTTGAAAAGCAGAGAATCATGGCAATTTCTCTATTAGAAAGTAGAAAGAAATAAACAAAGTTTTCTTCATCAAAATAGCCCAATTATTTATTATATCACAATAACTGGTGACTGCCTGTACAGATGCACTGTGTTCTTCATACTTACACTATACAAAATTTACATTCGAGCTGGGTCTTTACTACAGAAAATAAATACCAAAGGTAAATTGCCATTAGTGTTAGATAGAATGCCAGGATTCTTTTGTTCAATTATTGCCTAAACGTTTTATCTATGAAATGAAATCCTGTCTTTCAATTGCTTTACAGACACTTATAATTATTCAAAAAAATTAAAAAATTTCTGTGACATTGTTCATGTACATTATGAAAATAGCAGCCCTGTAATAAATAAAACACACACAAAAAAGAAAACTTATGTAGGCAAATGTTTCTGATACTGAAAGGAAAGGTGGCTCTTTAGATGAAGTGATAGGTATAATGTGGTAGAAGGCTCAGGGGAGTCCACCCATGTGCACCAGGGCAGATGCAGACTCTGCTCTAACAAACCCATCTGGCGTCCTCCAGGGGACAGACGGCAGAGGACGCCACTGGCCGCGTGGCGTCGTGGAGGAAAAGCTCTTGTAGGATGATTGTCTAATACTGAGAAGGCCAAACACACCACCAAAGCATGGCTACTTGCTTTCGTGTAAAGTGGGAAGGACAGCGGTGGCACACGGGAAAGACTGCTTTCTGGTTTTTTCCGCACGACGCTTGGAAAGCTCACGCTGAGGGGACATTCGGCTGCTGTGGAGGCTGCACTGGCTGAGGAGGCTGCGCGGTGGCTGCCGGCGGCTGAGAAGTGCTACCAGGGCTGGCCTGTGGGGCAGGGAGCTGGGATAACTGGTCATTGTTTGAAAGAGATTTTAACAGTGCATTCTCTCGTTCAAGTAAGGAGTTTCTCTCTACTAATTCTTTTATTTGCTCCTTTAGAACTTCCACCTCTTCTCTCACTGCATACATCAAATGGCTTTTCACCAGATCCTGTGAAACACAAAATGAGCAATGTCAGAAAGAGTGAAGAGGAAAGTGGAGCTGCTTCAACAAAACGAGGAATGTCAAAAGGAGTCAGAAAAAAAGATCAAGGAGAAAGTGAGCTACTTGGTCCTTGCTTGCCTGGGACCTTAGTAACTGCCAGAGTTTCTACATCAGAACTCCTGGTTTGTATTTAAGACGTCTGCCCTATCGTGACCGGCCTGAGAGATGAAGCGGGAAAGAAAATCCAGGTCCCATCTAGTGCAGCAAGCTCCTTCCCACCCGCAAGGTTTAGACTATTTCCAAAAAGATTCCCTGAATTGCCAATTATAAGCTTAGAATTTAAAATCTCAGGTTGTAACTCAAGTGCAAGACATTCAAATGAAGAAACACTTAGTTCTAGACTATCAAAAGTTCATTCTGCAATGCTTGTTTGTTATCAAGATTTGCTAAAATCAAGTGGTGATCTAAGAATGAGGAGTACAAACTTTTACTTACCATTGCTTGTTCTATTTTGTTGTCAATGGCTACAACACCTCCCCCAGATGCACTGGAAAAAAATTATAATATTTAATTAAATTACTTTTCATAACTTCATCTCCCTGCCCACTCTTAAAGTAACGTGAAAGACATGAGTCCTTTCATTTAAGAACAAATGATACATGGCCTTAAAGGGGCAGAACTCTCTCCCTCCCTCAAATCCAGTTTTGTACACAGCAACCGAAATACGTGGGTGATTCATAAATACATCAAAACTCAACAACCTTCCTTATATACACTTCAATTTGTAGAAATGGTTTCTAAACCCCATTTAGAGGGTTTTTGGAAGGACTGCTGAAGAGGAACTCAACATTCTAGTAAACCAACATGGTTTGGTTTATAGGTCACTCGCTGGCAAAAAGAACCCTGTAAGGCATGTGGTTTATACCAGTTTGCCTTGGAAATAATCCAAAGCAGTATATAGCCAGAGAGTACACCTTAAGCTCAAACATTACCCTAGCATTTATTGGTATGATACAGAAGGTTAAGCAACTGTCATCTTTGTGGTTTACACTCACTCATCCCACTGCCTTCCTAACATTTTTCCTTGCTTTTTTGGTGTGTGCGTGCGCCTGTGTGCGTGCACACAGGCGTGTATGCTAATCCTAGGGATTGAACTGAGGGCCTGTGTGCTGTCCCAGGGCATTTGTACTTAAGGTTGTATCACTGAACTGCACTACAGGTCTATTTCTGGCTTTTTAGTGGGTAACTGAAGAGGGGTCTCGGACCTGCCTGCCTGGGCTGACTCTGAACTGAGATCAGAGGCTCCCGTGGAGCAGAGATTTCAGAGCTAAGATTTCAGGCACCATCCATCGGCACTTGGCCTCCCCTTTTTTTTTAGAAACCATTTGCAAAAGAACCTTTACATCACAAGTTAAAATCAGTGAATTTGACAAAGGCAATCTAACTTGGCTTCACATTTTTAAAAACTCTTGAGAAACCAGCCTTTTCTTTATTTGTAGTCATGTGAACAGCTACTTATCTAAAACCAAACAGTTTATTTCCCACAACATAATGCTAGAACAGCATTCAGAATACATGAAATAATAGAAACAGACCTAATGCTGAAAGCGACACCCTCTTTCCATAATGTAAGAGAGAAACAAAATGACCCAAAACAAATCCTGAGTAGTATACATTATGAAAAGAGCATAAGTGCCAAATGTTGTGAAACCCTACGTGTAACTCAGAGATTAAACCCCACTCCCAAGCAAGCTAGTTATCTTATCCAGCACATTCCCCAAAGAAGTTCTGATGGTGAATAGGGAGGAGACTTCTTAGAAAAGGAAGTTAGCTGCTCAGTGATCTTTGGACAGTCAGTATGCTACTCACTAAGAACTAGAATATTCTAGCTAATTAGAAACCTACTGCTATCTTACAATTATCTGTAAGTAAAAAACCACTCAAAGAGCTGTCTTTCTAAGCAGAATCACAGTCACAACTGTAACTATCTTAAGGGGTAAGATTCCACAAAAGGAGCCGGCAAACGAGAGGGAGGAAGAGAAATACGATGAAAGGAAGTAGTAAGTTTAGGCAGTCACTCAAAATTTCACATATTCTGGTAACTGACTGCAAATTCTACCAATGTAAAACAATCTATTTAATTTCATGATTAAAAACCCCACAAAACCTCACAACAACATCCCATGGTGACTTTTACTAGTTCCACAAAACAAATCATTATCAAGGCTGCTATTCTGAGCAAGCATATAAATGGCTACTTAGAAAACTGTCTTCTCAAGTATCCAATAGCAATGGTGTAATCAAAGTGCTACAAGACAGTGTTTAAAACCAGGCTAGCTACCCATGGAGCAACGGACGTGAACATCTTCTGTACAGACCTTGCTTACCAATGCCCTCAGCGTATTTCACATCCATCTAAATAATTTCAAGTCAAGTTCCTGGGCAGAAAAATGTGGGGTTTTTTTTTGGGGGGGGGGGGGTTCTCTGATGGGAGGGAAGGGGGTGGTCCTGGGGCTCAAACTCAGGGGTTTTTCGCTCAAGGATGGCATGCCACTTGAGCCACATTTTCACTTGTGGCTTTTTTGGTGGTTAAGTGGAATCTCACGGACTTTCCTGCCCGGGCTGGCTTCCAACCCCAATCCTCAGATCTCAGCCTCCTGAGTAGCTAGGATGACAGGCGTGAGCCCCTGGCACCTGGCTTCAAGGGAAAAACTGTTTAAGAAGAGGGAAGAGGATGTAAGTTGTAACTTCCTGGCTGTGACAGTGCACTGCAGTCATGATGAGGCGTTATCACTGGGGAAGACAGGCGACCATGCACAAGACCCTCCTGCCTGTGCGCACACACACAATCACACGCTCTCTTGTGAATCCAAAGGGACATACGGTAGTACAAAGAGTATAGAGGAGATAATTCATGCACAAACACTCAGTTCCCCTGCTCAAAGTCAATTGTTGGAGGGGAAAGACAACCTGGTTGTTGTTTTATTTGAGGGGGGGAGGGACCTAGTAAGTGAGGGCTGGTTTAACAAGAGTGAAAGAAGATGAACAAGGCTGAAGCAGACGATGGGCATGCATGGAATGGAGTGGTGACACCTGCTGGGAAGGGGCAGGGGACCAACGGGAACGCAGCGTGCACGTGTGTGGCGGGAAGCGCCAGGACGCGCTGCCACCCACAGCAGAGGCTCCCGACTCACCCCACCTCCCTTGTTGACTCGCTCTTTGAACCAGCAGCCCTCTACCTGAAATTCTAGAGAGTAGTTACTCACTACAGCGGTGTCAATGAGGAACTAATTAAGTAAAGCATGGTATGGCCATCTATTCCATCGGATAGTATGTTATCTCTTCTATAACTGAGACAAAGGTACAAATTATGCGGAATATATTATCACTTATATAAAGGGACAGGGTGTAATCCTTGAAAAATGTATATACAGAACCAAATACACACACACACACACACACACACACACACACACACACACACACACACACACACAGCAGCTACCTATGTGGGAAGGTAGGAAAATAGAAATAAAGAGTAATTTCACTACAATTTGGAGAAGACTGGAAAAGCACATCGCGAAATGGAAATGACTTCTGCAGGAGCTACTTACTACACCTTGTACAATGTGATCACGACCTGGACAAAGAGCAGACAGGAGCAGGGACAGGAGAAGGAAGGGAGATGGGTCCATTCCACTTTCTGCAGAACAATTTCATTCCACGAGAATGTACTACAGTCAACACAAGAAACGTGTTCTGTGCTTTGTAAAGTCAATGTCCTTGGTTTGGGTGAATTATAACTTCCTATTATCTATGTATTCAAAGTCAATCTGGTAAGTGGAAAAAATTTGTGGTAAATATCTGTGATAAAAATAGACTACGTAAATTTGTACAATGAAAATGTTGTACTGAAAGAGCATTCAAATGTGTGGAAACATAACAATGAAATCCCCTCTAACACTAATGTAAGCTCATCAAAGTAAATAAATATGCAACCCCAAGAAGGTATCAATAGCAACACTTTACTAAATTAATTTACTTCAAAGGGGTCATTACAATATTTACCAGTAAAATTCTTCTATAAATGAATAGTTTTTCTTGTAGGGGCACTCTTAAGAAAATTTTATTTAAAAACTAACTCAATCTGCCAGAGGCATATCTTAAGGCAGTAGAGACATGTCTCTCAAGCGAGAAGCTGGCTCCTGCCCCAGCCTCTGAAGTACTGGAATTACAGGCATGCACCACCACACTCACCCAGCTACTAGTTCTTCCTTATAAGATTAAGGTTAGCTAGATGTGGTAGGAAGACGATTACTTCTGCTACCTGAGTAAAACTGAAGGGTGTGACAAAGAAGTAGGAGAAAAGAGAGCGGCTTTCTCCCCAACACTCAGGGGAGGTTTTCTTTAAAGATTTCACTACACTGTAAACACAGCACCTCCAATTAGTTCCTTCTGTTGTCTGGATCAATTTGGCACTTGAGGGCAGAAAATGTGGCAGAATGCAATGTGGGAAGTGGCGCAGTGGCTCAAGCAGTAGAGGGCTAGCCTTGAGCTGAAGAGCTAAAGGACAGCATTCAGGCCCAGAGTTCAAACCCCATGACTGACCAAAAAAAAAAAAGAAAGAAAAGCATAAAGCAATGTGAACCTGTGGAGACTTAGCACAGAAATTTCCACCTCCAAACCTAATATAAACTTAAGAAACAACAAAAACCCTACCAGGCTCCGCAGTTGTGTTTCACCCTAAAGAATTAAACAACCTAGTTATGAGCTCGTAAATTTACTTGAGTTTTAGGCACTCAATAGTCAAATGTTAAAAATTTAATCCAGTTCTAAAACACATTAAAATAAAGTCTTTTTTTGAGATTTAAATTTACAAGACTTATTAAACACAGACCTCCTAAGGACTGAAAATTAATAAAGCTCTTATTGATTCCCTATAGATTCGCAAAGTTTCACAGTTTATGGTAAAGTACTTTTTCTTTTTTTTTCCTTTGGTGGTTTTGGGGTTTGAATTCAAGGTTCCCTGCTTATTAGGCAGTACTCCACCACAGACTTCAGTACTAGAAAATATTCTTATTGGACTGTAGTAAAAATCTGCCAAAAGCCACTGAAATATAGCTAAAATTAATTTAATCCCTCTCACTATGCTAGTGAATAACTACTTTAGCATTACCTAATTCAAAAAGGGACTGTGACATAGGAAAAAGAAAATTGTGAATTAACATATTATAAAATCTAAAGATTTTATAAGATTCTCTTTTCACCTCATTAGAATTGTGGCTAAATAGGTACATTATCAGCAACAAAAAGATTTTAACTGCCAACCATTTTTTCCTTATTTTAACCTAGAGCCATTTCTTTGAACGTTTCCAGGCAATAATCATCATATAATTTAGACTAGTGAATGACAAAACATTTTACACATCAGTTCATAAAGTAACTTTATGAATCAATTCTAAGTTGACCATAGACATGAGTCTATAGATAAGACAGATATCTGATACACTATTCCTCACATTCTCTTAGGCTTCTTCCTTTCTTGCC